AACAGCTAATGTGCACAGATTGGGAATGAGGTGACATATGGGAATCATTTCATACTATGTACTTGTATGTGTCAGTAAGTTTTCAAGAATAGTATGGAATGTTAGATGACCATCCCTCTCCCATGCAAAGAAGAAGCAACCGCTGATGCGGAACCAGCGACGGCGACATCGCTGAGTTTCAGCGAACAGTACTTGCTAATGGTATGTCCGTCCAAAAATGGCCCGCGATTCGTCCAGCGTCTATCTAAAGGGCCGGGCATACCGGGCAGCGATCCATCGCGTCCCGAGTTCTCCTAAAAAACAAGTGTTACACATGTGTAGGATCCCCGTTAATATGTGCTAGCTGTCCGGCGCGACGCATGCTGACCGTTTTTTGCTAGGCCATACCCATCCGGGCGAAATCGCCGCGATCGTCGCTCATCTCAGCGAATTCGCGTTGCTCATTTCAAATGCGCGACGCGACGCATCGCTTGGATTGGGGATTCCTTCCCGAAAGATTCTATGATGTTCTTTTACTTTTTGAAGCTAGTTTTTTGCATGAGAAGTGCGAAAGAGTCCAATACTCTCCGAATTTATTGGTTTCCTTTAGTCATTTCTTTGTTATTTGTTAACGACACCACAAACCGACAACGAAATTAGTGTAGTGTGAGAATCACAAATCGCTTCAGAGGTATGCCCCATATCCGAGCGATTAGCGATCCGTCGCCCGTTTTCGTCGCTAGTTCCCAGCGATGGCAAATCGCGACGATTGCCTCGCGACGGGTATGTCCGGCCCTTAACACAAGAGCGGCGCGACCACGTGGTTGGGCGCGTGCGCGCGGCGGGCTCAGAACATATGCTTAAATTGGAGATTGCGTGGCGATTGGAATGGCGGGAGGTATGCCTTAGGCCTTAGGATGTTAAACAGATCTTGCTTCCACCATAACTTTTCTCTTTTTGAAATGGCACGACCAAATTTCGGATCATGTAGAACGCAGTAAAAGCTACAAGTAAGCACAGACTCTCTGCCTTTTGTTCAATGTTTATAATGAAATAGAAATAAATTGTTTTTTTTGCTTCTTTCTAAAACTACTGTTAGATTACAAGCAAAAATTGCAGTCAAACATATCAACCCAGATCTGCAGCTAAACCACTGTCAGAAATTGGCTCTTTGTACCCATAAAAAATGCAATAATAGTTGGAGACTGCTCAATTCTTCAGAGTGCTCGCATCCGTTAATAACTAGTGAACGAAAGCTCAGACTTTACCGAATCTTTGAATTGTAGGGTAATTTTCGTACTTACTTGCCTCCAAAATGGAATTTTTTTGTGACTTTGCCAAAAAGCATTGTCTACAAAAGGAATATGATTTCCGTAATTCATCTTTCAAGAAACTTCTCTAGACCAAATATCGGGTAGAACTAACAATTTTGAACAATCCAAAACTCTTTTCTTTTTACGTACACCGACCGTAACCCTCACACGCGTTGCCAGAGCTTTGGAAGTAACCGTAGCTCACATCATAATATAAACATTGCTAAAGTATGAGTGTACCACATGCAAAAAGAGAAAAGTTATGAAAAAAGCTGCAAAACTTAGTAAACAACCTAATAAATTAGAGGGCCCAGTCTTCGTTTACCTACTTGTTCCAGATAAAATAATCAATCTACTCATTCAGTAAGCGTCTGCATCAAGATGAAACTTGACTAGAAAAAACCCCAACTTCCATTGTCATTCATGCAAAAATTTTGCACACTTTAATACTTGCCACGTCTCAAGAAAGTTTCTGGATGCTTGCGCAGAACGTATGTACAAAATGTGAGATGATCATAATAGGTCGTTCCAAAAGTATTTTCGCTGTTTCGAAACCAGCGTAACATTTAGCAGAACAAAGATTGCCAGAAGATTCTGAATGCATTCGATGCAGTTTTATCCTTCCTCAAATGGTTGTTTCCCATTTTACCTTAACTGACTACAGCCCTGTATTGCCATGGTCATTCCGCTAATTTTGTAGCTTTTTGCGCCAGTTTCACGAAGAAGTCTAAGTAACCGTTGGGTAGAGCAAACCGTACAGGACAGAAAGCAACTTTTCTTGAATTCAAAGGTGATCTTAATTTTTTGGTTGGTAATTATTTTTGGGCACAAACTCGAGAAAAAACCGATAAAGCTTTGAAATTTGAAATCTCTCAAATTAATCATGATTTAGCACTTATTCGGAAAAACAAATGAGCGTTCACATATTCGAAATATTGAGTCTCGAATTTTCTGGGTACAGCCTGACGCGAGTCCAGAAGCATAAATCTGATGTTTTTATCGTTGTGAAGGAGAAAAATGTTTTGTATCCTGTAAGCTTAGCTCTATTTGCTAGTATTTGTACTTTATTTGTGGAAACAAATAGAAAATTAGCGAAACTTAGCCATGGCAGAAACCACTGGTTGTAGGTTCTTGCTTGTTTTCTGAATGTTCATCGGATAAAGTAAAGGAACAAGAGTCTGGGGGACAACGAAATGCTGCGTCTAATGCACCCAAATTTCAAAGAGCTTCATTTTGCGGGAGGTTACGTTGGCTTAAGAAAAGCGAAATTATTTTCAGAAGGACCTAACAGTTCTGCATAATATCGTTTGTGGTACAGTAGTAAGAGTGTGAACTGTTTGCCACGAGAAAAGAATATTTAAATTCATTGCTTCAAGATGAGTTTGTTTCGCATGCTAAATTTTTTCAAAAGGTACAAAAAATAAATTATTACGTTTTATAAAGTATCACGATGTCCAAAAAGCTCGCATGTATTCCCTGAAGCCGTGCAAATGTTTTGTCTCATACCGATAATGTCCACTTATGATTTTGCAACCTTGCGCTGCGTCCATTTTCCGCTCTACGTTTACATTTCTGGAATTACAAAAAGTAAGGCCTTTGAAATTCAGAGATGCAAAAATCCTCATCAAAGCCTATTATTTCCATGTTTCCCCTTTTTCACTGGCCAAACTAACGACTAACCAATCATTTAAAAGGACACCCACAGTTTTTACGCTGAGCTTTTTGCATGCTGTTTTTTCTACAGTAGCTGCTTTCTTAAATAACTTCTTTTGCTGCGGCTGCTCTCGCATCCTTCATCTGGGTTTGTTTTTGCAATGTTCACGTCTTTGAGCGTGAAACAGGTAGTCTATTTTTGTGAGTGCAGTCCATTACTTTTGGACTATACTCTTATAAAATTGGCTAAAAATGCAGAGAAACGGTATGCGTTAAAATTACAAAATGTGAAGGGACAGGAACAGTCAATATGAAGAGTAACGGAAATTGAGTATGGCTTCCAAACTGAAGAAAGATATGCGCTCCAAGCGGTTGAAACCTTTGTGATAGTGTTCGAATATCATCAGATAGCCTACCGGGGGTAGAGAAACGAGCACATCAATTAAGCACCTTAACTTTCTCCCACCTACCAGCACTTTAACTGACGCAATTGATTTTGAGCTACTAGCGGCATTATACTGTGAAGTGAAAAATATATGAGAGGAAAGATATAGGTGATTATTTTATCTCTAGCTTACGTATCAAAAAAGTTGTGCATAATGTAACAGATTACTTTAGCAACACTATCGCTTACTCTGAAGCTTCGTCTATCCTTCACTCTGGAGTGCACACATCCAGTGTCAACATACCGTCTAATGGACCCTTGGTAGTGTCAATATCGTCAAGGTTATTCACTTTACTTGACACTCAAAGGGATATTGTACATCAGGGTATAGTTTGGATCTTGAGTCAAAATATCACTTCTACAAAAAACGTAAGTATCGATTCTTGCTTCTGTTATATTAATTTCTTCAATCGCAGAAAAAGTATGCGAGATACAAGATAAAACTGTGGGACATTAAACTCGCAAATCTTTCACTCAATAGCAGCCATATTTCCCTTCACAACTTCACAAATGGGGTTCACCTCAAGGTAAGGCATCTCTTATCTATAATGAATTAATTTTATGGCTTATTAGGTGAATGGCTTAAAGTTCTTTTTCACTGCAAATTTGGAAGTGGAGATTTATTTTCCATGGACACAAAACTTGACCGGCAACGTAACGTAAGCAGTAGATAAATAGATTAGAAAGAGGTTCTCGGATTTCTTCATGCCAAAGATGCTTTTTTTTGAAAAAGGGTGTAATAATGTTCGTGCAAGAATGAAGGTGCGCGACGAAACTTTTGTGAGCATATACCATGATAACTGAGGTATGTCAGCCAGACAAGGTGTACCAATGCAAAAGTAGTGTGGTCATTAAACGAAATGTTTTTAAAGGTAAAAAATTTACTCTTCAACCCTGCCTTTTAGCTTTTAAGTGGGCAATGGTGAACCCAATCTATTTGCTAGAGGCGACAACATCCAGATGTTTGAGAGGAGTCATTTGAATACCGCTATAAGTGATCGCGCTAAAGATGTCAAGGGGCAAGGGTCAAGAGTACGATTTCACCCCCTCAGCTCAACTACTACTACTAAGTTTGCGCATAATTCCAGCTTTATGCAGCCAATCCACCAAAGGAAGGTATGCGAGAATTAGTTGTAAGAAACGGCTTGAGCACCAACAATTTTGCATAGAAGAAAAAACTCGATTATGCTTGACAAAGAAAGTTGCTTAAGCGGGACCCATGCGAGCAAAAAACTGCCCACACGTTTGCAAAAATCCAAAAATTAAGTCCGAGAACTTCTTCTCCACTGTTGGGTTTATCACCTTGTTCGATGTTCTATATTTTCAGAGTGAAATCCAGTAATTTGAAGCTTGACGGCAAATTGAATTGGAACGACAATTTTACATTCAGCCCAAAGTTTTATGCGAATACCAATGTGGATCTTAAATTCAGTAGCAATTTTATACTTGCACAACCATTCAAAAAACCTCTGTCGATTATAATTAACAACAAAGTGGCGAGGAAGGTTGAGAAAATTTATTGCATGTGATTTTCCTGAAAAAGGATTGTTTAGCTTACCAAAATTGTGAACTTGAAATTGAATCCTCGTTTGGATAAGTTAAAAGGAATTATGGACAGACATGGTCTTGGTTTCTTGACCGACTCTATCGGATGGTTGGAGCAGAACAATTCTCTTCAAATTGAGATGCGACCAAAAGGGTGGGTAGGAGCAAGTGAGAAATGGAATTCCTCTGATATTATAATAGCACATGATACAGCTATAGATTAAAATCAGAATTAGAAAACGCAGTAAAGCCAAATTTTGCCTACACTTCATAAAATTTGCACTCTTTTCGTCACCACTCTTTCGCCTTTAACTTTACCAGCGAGACAAGACACAATTTTCAATTGTTTCGCCAGTTTTGCACCTGAAGCTGATTTAGTGTGCAGACTTTAACTACTCAATCCCTCTTCTCCAATCTTGAGTTTGAATTTGATTGGAACCATTTAGTGACACCTCAGCCTCAGTCCAGGCACAATTCGTAAACGCCACTAAAATGGTGTGCCTCAACGGCAATTATGTAAAATTCATCTTTTCACTACTCTCGACAGGATTCTCATCATTCCGATCCCGAAGAGAAGCGGTGAGTTACTCTACATTGTGTTTGTTATTTCACTATTACATATAAGACAAGTTGAAAAATAAATTGGTACGATAAATTGGTACATTGAGTAGAGTAAGGAGACAGTTACTTTTCGATGGTTATAAAGCTCTTGATTAATGCTGAAGACGTGGAGTGATTGTGTGTGTGTGCAAATCTCAGTTTTCGGGAAAATTTTGATTTTTTTGACGTTCAAGTTTATGTCTACTTGGATTTGGGATTTTGGCTAAACTTACTGACTAAGCATTTCCTTCGAAAACGAGGTTTATTTGAATTTTACCAAGATGAAATGACTATATGGGGACTGGAATAGCGCTCAAGGCAATTTATGATTGCGGCAGAATGGGTATCTAATTATGGCGAAATTCAGCAAAACAATGACATTGCTGCAAAACACTAAATTGATTGTGTGTGTGTGTGTTGTGTGTGTGTTTTGTGTGTGTGTTGTGTGTGTGTTTTGTGTGTGTGTGTGTGTGTTTTGTGTGTGTGTGTGTGTGTGTGTGTGTGTGTGTGTGTGTGTGTGTGTGTGTGTGTGTGTGTGTGTGTGTGTGTGTGTGTGTGTGTGTGTGTGTGTGTGTGTGTGTGTGTGTGTGTGTGTGTGTGTGTGTGTGTGTGTGTGTGTGTGTGTGTGTGTGTGTGTAAATCTCTAAAATGAACTTTTTGGGATAATTGTAAAGGTTCGACATAATTAAAATTATGGTTACGGGGTAATTTTTGTGACTACAAAAGCAACGTCACCAGAAACATGACTGTTGGAAGTTGGAATAGAAACTGCTTTGAAGAGTGCTGCAATTATTCGCCTTTTTCATTACAATGTATTTTTATGGGAGTTTTCAAAAAAAGGAAGCTTTTCAAGTGACCTAACATTGCTTTTGCTTTCGAAAATCAATCTCATCTTCATGCGATGAGATAGAAGAGCAGTTCTGCTTGACTGGTACGATATTATTAAAGTAATGTACAAATGCCTTCCATATATGACCTAAAAGATGTGGTTTAGATCGCCATGATGGAAACATCAGCACCGTTATAAGTCAGTAATTTCCAGGAGCCTTTCAAGTTGGGTTTCATGTGTGAAGGAGCGGAGCTCAAGTGTGTGGGATCAACATGCTCTTTTTGCACAGATATCAAGCTCACAAACAGAAGTGTTAGTACACGGGAGAAAATCTTTAGTTGCACGCCTCACATCGATGTCGTGGATTGGGTGAAAAGCAATGTCAAACATTATTGGACGAAAATAACAAGTAAGTGTATAATTTTCATGCTGTGTCAGCATTAAAAAAAAGTTCAAACAGCAACGTGGCTCTTTCAGATGTGTTTAGTGGGGGAGCAGAACCGAAGGAAGCGGAAGAACAACAAAGTGTTTTCACATCACTATTGCGATGGCTAATATAAACTTTTGAATGTAGTGATGCAATGTTGGGATTATAAAGCCAAACCATCGACGGGAACTTATATTGTATAAAGTTGGTGGTAATGTAATGTTGGTCACAAGAATAAAGTTTGTTGCTTTCATCAGCAACAGTTTCTCTCGCACTGTGTTGCAATTTGTTTTCCAAGAAGGAAGAAAAATGGTGTCCCGTAATTCAATTTGTTCAGACATTTTTCCAACTGATCAAAAAATAAAGGCATTTGCTATAAGATCGTAAAAATTCAAAAGTTCCCTTTCAATTCGCCATAGAGTTTAGCCGATATCGAAAGAATTGTGCAGTTTGCATATCACATGCGACTCATGAATATACAACCAAATCAAGATAAATGTGTGTGGACTCTTGTATAATAAAAAAAATAGTTGAGAATTATTACTTACAAGACGCCTCTGTTGATCAAAGGTCTTAACAGTTGCACATTTGGATTTATTCCTGCGTATTTCTGTGTGTCACTGCCACTTAACTGCAACGGCAAGATCCTGAATGCCTGAGGTATCCACTCTCGCAATTTTTGAAAAGCATTAAAGTTTTCAGAACATTTGTTTTGTAGTAAAGAAGCAAGCATTCTGTTGTCCCTATTGCAGTAGTTTCTGTTTGCCAGTTTTCAGATTGAAAAAGAAGGGAACTTATAATCGTAACAAACAAAATGTTATAGACGTTATAGACGCACTTTGTCGTAGAGAGCGTGCCTTTTGCTATCACAGTATATATAGAGATATCATTCTGTAAAGTGCAGTATCATCATGAAGCTACCACTACTCCAATGATCTGGTCGGCCACACCAAGTGTTCCTTACGACTCACTTTATATTGAAAGCCACTAACTAGAAGGCAACTCAAACAATTTTTTGCCTTTTTGTATGCAAATAGGCTATTTTTATGAGTTATTGAAAATTGGGGTTCGCAAATTATATAGATTATTTCACCGAGCAATGCAGTGGTTTTTCAGGATGCTTTCAAAAGCTCTCTATTGAAATCACTTTTATACGGGATAACAAGAAATCTATTCAACTCTTCTGAGACTAAATTGACTTTATTTCAAAGTTTCCTCGCTTGAGTCAATGTTATCCTGTCAACCTGTATGCATCGGATTGGGATCTCTTTACTACCATGTTCCGGCTTTTAGTTTTCATTGAGGTCGCTCCAATGAAAGTCTTGATGACGCCCTCCTTCTCCGTTTTCCTGTATCTATAATTTCTCATCACATGCCCACAATTGAAGCATCTCTTTTCTTCCTGATCCTTATCATAGGCACTCGAGCTACTGGCTCTTGCTTTTTCATACCATCTTTCCTTTCGCCTCTCTCCGTTAAGCTGCTTCGACTTTGCGTCATAACTGGCACCTATCCTTTATTTCTAATGGTTTTCTTCCAAGAGGAGCTTGCTGTTTAGTCTTCCTTCAAATTTGCGGAGTCTTCGCGACTGTTCGACCTCAATCGCGACTTTTTTATTCTGTAATACGCATCAGCTGGTGCCACTTGGTGTAGATTTCCGTAAGCTGTTCGTATTCTGGCATGCTATCAGATTTTTTAGCAAGATTTGGGGGATTCCAACGATTTATCCTCAATACTACATTAAGGATTGGCCTTCCTAGCTAAGTTTTCGAGGGCCACACAGAAATCCGCGACTTCTCAGATAATCGCCGGAGGCAGGAGGTCCGCAAATTCGCGCTTTTCTGCAAGCGGCCAACAGAATTTTGGGGTTTGGCCAAACCTTCAGCTGGCGGAACTTCCTTTACGGTGGCATATTCTGCCAGCGGGCGGCAATACAGCATTTTCTGGAAGCGCTCGGCAAATAATTTCTTTCAGCGAGCGCTGGCCAAACTTTCAGCAAGCTCTCAGATACTTTTTAAGCAGTTTAGGGCATATGCCGAGCACAGGTAAGACTCTATGTGGCAGAGGTGTCACCGTTGGTTTAATTACTCAAGTTTGAGATACTTTGTCTCAGCGGAAAGTACCTGGAGGCTGCGCGGTCTTCCACAAAAGATGGTGCGGCCCTCGGAAATTTTGCATATTCTCGCGGAAAGTCCGCGAGAATGCGGCCACTGGGCCGCAATTTATCCACGAAAAGACCGCGACAGTTCCTCAAGCGTTCGTCTAAAAATCGGCCAAAATTATAACAGATTTCTGCAAGGGGACCGCAAGAAGTCATCGAACTATTTTTCCGGTGCCAGCCCGCCCATAAATCGCATGGCCGCCTGCCCCGCGACTATCTGAGTTTTTGGTCTAGTTTTAATCGCGTGTTTCTCAAGGCCATCAGCGCCTTCAATCTAGCTGCTGTGGAGTCACAGGCAAGTAGTGAGGCCGTCTCTCCCACTACTCTGTCAAACCCCTGTTTACCGCCGTCGAAATACTCAAGAATTCTGACTTCGCCCGTCCTTCCAAGTGTTCGTCACCCAGGAGCTCTGAAACAGACCAGATAACTCGATTATATGAAAAACTTTGGAGGAATGAAAATAAAACGAGTATTCACGAAAAAGAGGATCAATTTGCAAAAGATTTGCAACAATTAGTTGCCTAGGAAAGGCTTCACGATTCCGCTCAAAATTTTGAAAATTAGCGGGAATCAAACACATAAAATTGGAGCATGAGTTTTGGCAATTATCTCAGCGCTCGTTGGAAGTTCTGCATAGAGAGAGCTACTGAAAAAGGAGTTGCTGCATCGCATATTACTCAAAGTGTTTATCTCTACTCTACGGGATTCAAGAGATACATAAAATTTTCGCACTGATTTGTGCCGATATTAATCCCGCCGACCTGGAGGCAGGTCTTGTAGGCAGGTCGTCGGCACCTTTTCGTAAGGTCGCCAAAAGCTAAGATCTACAATTTAGGACATCTCAAGCCTTTTTTCAAAGAAAGCTCCTAGGTGGAGGTGCCACCGCGATTTTGAAGAAACCTCCTCTCAAATTCGAAGTCCCAGGAATTTCCCTGTGGGAAAACATTGGGAAGCGCAGGAGGAGCTGTCGACAACTTGGCGAGCTCAGTTGCCGGCACTCTCCGAAATTTGCGAGGTGACAGCTGCCTGCAAATCAGAGAGCATGAGAAATAGCGTGCTTTCTTGAGAGAAGAAGTTGCCGGCATCTCCACTTGCCCCTACCACGTCGAGGTGCTGGCATCTGTGAATTTGAGTAATGCGGCAATATCACACAATTTACGTCAGGCCAAAAAATCAAAAATTTTTGCTTTTCGTAAAAAACTATCGTTTTTCTCATTATAAAAGTTTTCTTCAGTGAATTTAAAAATCATAAAAACACCATATTTTTTGCAATCCCCTCTAAATCTCGTTTACACCGATTTCGCCTTTCTTGCTCATATCAATCAGTTGTACTTTCAAGTCAAAGTCTTTCACGCAATTTGATCACCTCCACTTACAGGCGGTCACTCACCTGTGCATTTCTCTCACTGCTGGTACAAACGATAATTATTGACCAAGTCGTTGAATTTAGTGCTGCGACGCTTGAAGCGACGCACGCAGGTTCAAACTCGCGGATGGCACTGTTTTGCGGCTGTCTGCGTCATCAAAATTTCATGTGCGGAGTGACTGCAAGGTTATATGAAATAATAGAACCTACGAAATCCGCGAGCTGTAGCCGGAGTTGGCAACTTCCCGCAATGTGTGCCAACTTGCCGACATCTATGGTGTCACCAGGTAGGGTAACTACCGGCTTTGATGTCTAAGCATTTCATATGGTCACATGTGTCACACACAGTATAACTATGCCACCCAATGCTGATTTTTTCGGTCATAGACGCCCTCCTAGCTATGCTTCTTACTGCCTTCTTGATTTTTTTTTGTGTTCACTATCAAATTATAAGTGTCTAACAACACTTTTACGATTAAGGTCTCGCATCTTCTCTCTTTGTTCAAAATCTAAGGTAACGACGGCAAAGGCAGGCATTGTCTGCAAAGACACATTTTTCCATTCAGAATGACTCGACATTATTTTAACATGAATACTCTTCCGAAAGTATGAGCTATTGACAGTGCACAGACGTGGCCAAGGCGTCGATTTAGATATCGATCGCATAATGGAGTGCATAACAATAAAGCTACATTAGTGATGCCTATGCGTTCATTTTAGTATATAGACAAGCATGCATAAAATTGTTCATAGTTAGAAAAGAGCAATAGCTTGTGCATTCTAGTCTTCTTTGTTTAGCGCTGCCACGCCTCTGCAATATATATCCTTTTCTAAATCGAGAACCTTGGAATAACGCGAAGTCAATGTGAAGGTGAGCATGTCTCCTCACTACTTGCGTAATCGTGGCGCGCACAGAAATTTTTTTTTTGGGAATCTCACGAAATGCATTGGACTCTGCTGATCTGCGCTGGCTTAGCCGTTAGCGATGTGAAGTAAGTAGTAAACCTCAATTTATGTGTTGTTCCGAAGAAGAACTTCTAGTAAACGGACGACGCACTAATAAACAGGACCGATTGCAGAGATACTGTGCAGCACCCCTTACTGAGGATTACTTCGCCATGACCATAAAAAATGAGACCTCACAACTCAAATACAGTATATTTCGCGCAGCGACAAATTTCCATTTCTAAACTCAATTTCATGATGCGACAGAGAGCTAAACGTGAAGCATCCACGACATTAGCAATGCTCAGCCAAAGCAGGCAACTAGTCCTTGAATCTTTCGCTGAGATCCGTGCATGAAAATAAGCGGAGAGCTCTCAGTGATCGATGGTACGATGTCAGCTAGAAAGTCTGTATAAGGCTTTGTGGTCGATTTTGTTAACATGATTTCGCCAGCACTATCACTATAACGTTATAAATAGAGCATCCTGTTCAAAAAACCAAACTGTCAAAGACTGCTTATGAACCCGTTGCTGTATAGAGCGTCAATAACAATCGTCCAACATATGCAAATTTTGAAAATTTCTGTGGTCAGTGCCAAGTGCAGTCTCGAATTTTGTAACAGCTGTTGTTCCATGTTACAGATCGTTTCTTTCAAAAGTTTATCATTCCTTTGCACTTAAGGATAGTTTGTTTGTAAATGCGGTATCCATGTTTAGCAATGTAAATTACCTCGCTATCCAAAAAACCGGTAAAATTTAACAGAAGTTGCGACTCTCTGTCACTGGGCATTCTCAAGACAGCGTTGAAAAAATGAAATTCGTTCACTTTCAGTACGTCAGATGTCAATTGTTTTCAACTTTGTTTTTTACAACACTCTTTAGCAGCACTTGTTTACAGTCCGGCTCCGTGTGGTGGAGTGTTTGATCTAAACTTGCACGGCTTCATCTGCCCTAAAACCATGAAACATCAAATTTCACCAGTGTCAAATCAAACATTTCTCAAACATTGTTTTTTCATATTCAAGCAAAAACTCGTTTTTGTAATCAAAAATCAGTTTGTAAAACATTTGTAGTTAAAAAAAAATTGTCGCCACATTGGATATTAAGCAATGGATATTTGCAAGAGCTTGGTAATCAACCTCATACTTTCATACAAACCCAAATACAGACATACATACCGTTAAAAAAATTCATTTGAAATATAGACTTGCGTACAGCAGAACTAATTTAGCCTTTCACAAAAGTCTACAAGTCAATTCTTTAAAGGCAGTGGATCAGCAGAATAGACCTCTATCAGGTTTTCGTAGTGTTAGGTAGTAGACCCCCCGAATTCACCGTAGCCCCGACCTCACCCTCCATTTTATGCTCTAAGTTCTGTGATGGACACTCGAAACTCCACCAGCCTCGCCCATTTCCATTGAGTGGGCGTCATTACTGGAATTTTGCAGCGCTTTTTCAGGACTTAGAGCATAATGGAGGGTGGGGTTGGGGTTACGGTGTATTCGGGGGGTCTATTATCTAACACTACCAAAATCTGAAAGAGGTCTATTCTGCTGATTAACTGCCTTTAAGAGCTATTCGTGTTCAAGCTCAGAATGAGCAATTCGGACGCTTCTAATTTTTGATAACAGGTAACGCAATTGCTGTGCCGTTAAGCTTTCACGGAAACAATTGAAAGCAACCTTTACGAATGGCAATGCATGAGCAGAGCTGACAGCAACGGCGCGTTGGCATTCGCCTCAGCTTACTAACTGTAGAAATTCTCCGCCAGCACAATTCATGGCAAGCCAACAAGTGGTTACATTCCATTTTTCTGGCCATCTTGGGAATTGTCAATCCTCATTCTACTTTTTGGTGTCCACTTCACAAATGATGCTTCATGCTGTTCGCAACATCACTCACCAGCTAGGAATTGCTGAAGAGACCGCGTAAGGTTAGCGTGCACAAGCTTTCTACACCTCGAGTCGTAAATTGAGCAATCAGGGATCTCACGATTTGTTACTGAATAGTTACATCCTCTATTTCATTGGGACACCTTCTATTTCATTGGGCGTAAAGAAGACTCGTGCGGCTTGGAAGGCTGCCTCGCTCCTGCATCTCTTTCGCCAAAGTACTCTGCAATCTTTTTTCCACGCTTATTAGCAATCGAAGTTCGGCCTCTGGGCTGGGTCAGACTTTGCAGTGCACGCGGCGTACGCGACGTATGCAGCGTTGATCAAGAAGTGCTCTTAAAATTCCATAATTGGCGTTTCCCATCTTAAGTGCTTCAACTCTACAAATCACCAGAAAGGCCTAGATAAAGTCGAAGTCAGCTCGAACACCTATCATAAAATCTTCGAGGTTTGTGCTAGGAAAGCCAATAAGGAATGAAACTTGTGTAAAAGCTTCTTCGGAGATAAAGTTAGAGCGGTCGTATAGCCTCTCAAAAGCCTAGGCCGCCAGAGCTTTCGTAGCTTTGTGCCTTACACCCCAAGTTAGAATTCCGAAAACGCCCCATTTCTGGTACATGTATTAAACTCATCGCTTTTTCTTGCTACAGTAAAGATGTGGAGCCAAACACCCTACAGACCCTCGTCAAACTGCGTGTGCTTGTAAATCATGTGCAATTACAGCAAATCGGGCGTACAAACTTCTAAGGTTCAAATCTTTTGAGACAAGCTGATGTCCTCCAGAATGCCACACTCTGAGGTTGCGCAGGCGAAGAGAAGAGAAAGAAGGGATCGTCTGTAGGTTCTAGAAGGATGGGAGGAAGAGGGATCGTTTTCAAGGGACTTGTGCCTGACCCCTCGCCCAATTCTGGTTCGACAGTTCTTGCATACTGTGGCACACGCGCCAAAAAATTTATATGAAAAGATGGGATAGTGAGTAACATTTGATTCAACTGGCTTGGCACCATTAGGGCGGGGTTTTGTGATCTAAGGCCGCTTGCGCCCGCGACGCACCTGCGTCTCTCTCGCGCGAGTGCTCTCTGATCATTACCTAACCTTAATTAGGTCACGAAGCCCCGCCTTTGCCGATGCCAAGCCAGTTGTATCAAATGGTAAACAGTTTGTAAAAGTCTTTATAGTTTTCAAAACCATTTCCAAACCGTGGACCATAAAAAAATCAGCACCGCCGAGCTTTTTTCATTGACGATCTCGTCAAAAGTATGGAAGCTACTGGATACGAGAGCAGGCATCATAAGCGATGCTGTGAAAGCCATTGAAATTCCTGATTTAGTGGAGAGGTAAACACTGACACTGCTTTCTTCTCCCTACATATGATGTTCCACTCATTTTCAGAAAAGCTTGACAAGGTACCATATTTGGAATGGTAAAATCGATTCGTTTGTCCTCCCCAGCAATGGCGCGTCTTTTAAAGATTTATATAATGGAGTCCACATCAGAGTAGGTAACCATATGCCAAATTTCCTGTAACCGTTGTATTTTCCATTAGATAAAAGGAGTAAGACTTACCGCTTCTGCGCAAGGAAGAGTGGAGGTAGGAACTAGCCTTCTTGGTAATTGGTTATCGGTTGCTAACATGAACGGCGGCATAAAGTAAGCTGATTGGTAATTTTTTGTTAGTTTCATACAAAAGCCTTTCCTATTCCTAGATTAAAGTCCAAAAAAGTGGATCTTGATGTCAAATTTGTTTGGAATAATTTTCAATTTGTCCCAATTATGTCTATGGATTCAAACATCAGGCTCAGTTTTACTGGGAGTTTCAAAGTTTTAGCCATTGTAAAATATATAATAGAGAAAAAAGTTGCTCTAAAGATAGAGAGCGGAGTGGCAAAGAAGGTTAGTTGGTTGGGGTACTATAAAATTTTTTGAAAAAGTTTGTTTAGCTCAGTGAATTTGTGAAAAAGAAGATAAATCCTCACTTGCTACAACTTAAGCAGAAAATGATGTCGGTGGGCATTCGAAACTATCCTGTCGAGTGGATGGTGCAGAACAATAGTTTGCATATGGTGTTTACACCGAAAAGGTAAGCTGAGCTACAAAAAAAGAAAAAAATTTGCAAGGTTTTCTTCCTTGAGCCGCGGCATGTTGATCGGTTTAAAACACGGAAAGGGTAAATAAGTTAAAGTTTTATTTACATATGTTAAATTGCCTTATTATGTTTTCTTTAATTTCACAAGGCCCTTTCTTTTTTGAGTGCTGCTAAGGTTACCATACAGCAGAGCAAAGCAAGATCTACAAGATGGTCACCGGGCATTCGCCTAATTTTATTCCACGTAAAGCTTATAGCCAAATTCTGATAGTGGTCAAAACTAAAATTAGAACATTTCTCCACTCCAAAACATTCCATAAATCCCCAACTCACTCAAACAGATATTCGATATATCAGACATTTTATCATACAATCTCCGCATTTTCTTCTCCCTTAAAAATGGAGAAGAGTTTGATTGAGGTATTTGGCAAATTCCGCCCCTAATGTTTCTGGGTCCCTCCCACACATTTGACACTCTATGCATTGAGAAGCACACGTCTATGTATTTGTACCATTACCATTTTGTACCATGTAAGTGGTCTTGCTGTCGAGATGTATTGATTACAATGTTGTGATAGAACAAAATTATGGAACAGCCTGTACGGCCAACGCAGTTTGGTGCATCTCTGATTGCTATTTATGTATCGTACTGTACTTTATTGTAATTTTTGTAGTTGCAAGCAAAAATTCCGTCGACATAAGTTCTCGCTCATATATTTCTAAGCAATCCATAAGACACATCAAAAGCACAGCCTTATGCCGCATGCATTAACATTCTTGTTGGAAACGTGAACGCAGTTTCCTTCTTATTTTAAGCTCTGAGCATCTGGATTTTTAGCTGTCTACCATATGCGCCAGACTAGCAGATTGCCAAATGGCATCAGTATGCTAGTTGCGGCGCAACTAGCATACTGATGCCATTTTGCGTCACGATGGACAGAAATTGAGGTGGCGTCTGCGATGTTCGCAACAACAGTAGTTTTGGAGAGATGATGACGAAACCCCGTAGTATGAGAGTATGATGAAAAGTCCTATCATTTGGAAAATTTTGTTGTAGCGAAATCGGAAAAGCCAACTCCATTTTATTGTACAAGCCCAATTTCCAACTTTTCATATGATCATCCTAATGATTCTCCGAGGCTGACCATTTAATTCTTAGAGATTTTTCTCTTTTTTCGAAGTAAATGAAAACATTCCAAAGGTGGTGAGCATGTTTCTAAACACACAAAAACAAATAAGCTATCAGAATATTGGTTTTCGATAAATCCAAACTTTCGACAGGTGCTTCACAGCATTTCATTACTTTGATACATCATTTGTTCTTGTCAGAAAGATGCTTACAAGGGAATGGTCAGAAATCGAAGTGGTCATTCCAGACAAGCTGCATACCCTTAGATGCAGCATGAAGCGCTGATTCTAAATCTGTCTTCCTTACCTGCTTGTCGCTTTTCTGGAGGAAACTATAAGCCATAAGACCATTATTTTGCTGAGAAATTATGTATGCTTGAAATTGAAAAATTAGCCGTAGAGAGCCACGTTCGCCTCAATGCTGAGCCAAAACATGCCGCTAGTTTACTTAAAATTTTCGAAGCCAGAAACTGAGCTAAAAGCGCAACAATGTGCTCAATTTCGCTGTTTTTTTTCACAATAAAACCGCTTGTAGCTTCGTCCACAGAAGCGGGAAGCAGATAAGGAAGACAGGTTAGAAGTCAGCGTTTTATACTGCATCTAATGATATACAGCTTCTCTGGTTTGGCCACTTCGACTTCTGACCATTCCCTTGTTAGCAAGGTTGGATTAGACAACCAATACAGCTTTAGAATGTATCCACTGACTTCGAAGAAAGAAAAATGACTCCAAAAAAAGGTCGGACGCCGGGTCATCAAGGGGATTACGAAATAAACTCTGAAAATGAGCTTACGCAACCTCTTGCTCCCGTTCAGTATGTTTACAGTAAAGCGTAGTAGAAACGCTTGCAGATGGATAGACAGCGACATCCAGATGTTCAAAGCTTCAGTTTGAACTGCTTTCCCTCCCAGCGGGGATATTAATGCATGCGGGGCTGAGTGATTGAGGAAACACTATGATGTGTAAAAAGTGGCGCTATGAGCGCCAGCACGCATTAACCGACAATCACCTTCAAAAAAAGAGGACCATGGTTTTGACCTTTTTGTACTTTTTCAAGAAACCCTTCTCTATATCTTTCTCATCCCTTTGCGGGCATAAACGTAACAGCACACTTGACCTGGCCTGCTGTTATATTCTTTGTCTCACTTATTTTTGTAAAGTATTGTTCGGAGCGATAAAACTAAGAAATGATGTTGATAGTCATTTTTTTTGCGAAATTTTGAGTGCTCAACACACATTCACCTACAGCACTGAATATCTATTAAAGGCTATCTTTTCTGTCCCTTGCCTATCCAAATTTTTCTTGGTCACACTTATTCAGTTAGTAGCTAATATCACCATAGCACTTAATCTTTTCTAAAATGTAAACATCTGTTCAAACAAATGAACAGATTTCACAAGACGAAAATCAAAATTGTTCGTTATTTAGAACGCTAATTTTGTTTTTGCATAAAGGTGGAGAAGTTAGCTTAGAAAAGCAAATTTTTACAAAAAAACGTTTCTGGCTTCTTGACCCAAAAAGACAATGGATTTTAGGACATCGCGCATGGCTAGCCATTGCTTAACGCTACATTGAAACAAGTTTGTGATTTGTATGATCCACTAAGATCTTTCCCCTTTATGTATAAACGATATCGAACATCATAGCTTCTACAGCCAAATATAGCCACTCCATTTCAACCAAGTATTTTTCGCTTGCTAGATTTCAGATTCAACTTTGTTTAGATCACCTTGTTGTGAATGTTTAAATTTCATCCTGTAAAAATTTTTTTCTCTATTAAAAGGTACTCCGCTTCATGTGAGTAGCTTACAAAGAAATGCTTAATGCAATGTTAGAATCAAATCCAAAACGACTTATTGGGACACCTAAGTGATAGAATTCAAACCTTTGCGCACACTCAAAATAAGGGCTCCAAAACTTGACAAAACCGAATAATTGACTAAAGCTTTGATGTATTTCACTACAAACGGTAACGTCCATACGCATAGCAGCGCTGCAAATGTCTCATTTTCTCCCCCAATTGTGGTCTAATTGGACACATTTAGCAAAAACAATGTTCTGTCATGGCCAAAGCCAATAAACGAAATGGTATGTCTCAGCGTAAACATCCTATACCTTCTTCATGCGCTTTCTTCACGAATTCGAAGAGCAGCCGTAAGTTTTCTAGCTGAAAATGTTGTTTTTCCTTCAAATACAACGCACTCATAAATATCGGCGAACATGTCTTCCAAAAAAATTTTAGGCTACTCGTAAATCTAGCAGGCCTATGATTCCAGAAATTTATCAATAAAAAAAACATCGCCGCTACAGATCCCAGAGATCCTTTAACAAATTTTTATGAAGGAGTTGATTTTCCGATAAATTGCGTGGAAAACAAAACTTGCACAATCGTGTCACACTTAGGCTATTAACAGGAAATTTTCAACTCATTCTCAGGAAAAGAGCGAGGCTGCTTTGCACACGCATGAGCCGCCGCAGAGTGTGTCGCGCGCGGCGGTGGTCCTGTGTGGAAAGCATCGCGGTCGTCAAATCGCCCTATTGGGCTTCTATACACTCCTTGCTATATTATTTGCTTTGCAAAAATTATTTCAGTAACAGAAAATGTTGTTTTCAGACTAAAGAAGTGGAGGTCGTTTGCGTAGCACCCAAGCTTAGCTGTCAAGGAACAAGTTGTTCTATGTGCACAGATATCGATATAAGAAGCTATTCGAACAGTTCTGTAGACAAATTCCATAACTGCTTGCCCGCTATGTAGCTGATATATCTTATATATGAAGCTGAATATCTGTCTGTCTGTCTGTCTGTCTGCCTGTCTATCTGTCTGTACATATGTTCCGAATAGGAAACTCCATTTCTGAACCGATCCGGACCAAACTTGGCACACATACACTTCGGGGTCGGGCGTTGTCATAGGCTACTTTTCGTCATCGATCGATATCGTTTTATCGATTTTTTGCAGAGTTTACCTACGGGACGGGATCTGGCACAGGGAAGTAATCGAGCATGCTGATTACAAAAATTGTTTTTGGAATTATCCATTACTTTCATCGATTTTATCGATATTTTTGCAAACTTTGAGCAACGGGGCTGGGAGTTGGCATGAGAGTAATCAAGCGTCTGATTACTAGAACAGCGGGAATAGTGAATTGGCATGAAGGCGTGGGCGAGGGAAATTGTACTGGGATAAGGAAGACCTTTATCATAGTGTTAACAGGGATGGACGGAGCCGGGTAAGCCAGCTAGTGGCTCGATAAAGATTCCATGTCAAAGCTCACCTAAATTCGTTTTTTTTGAACTTGTGAATTGCTTTGGATAGCATGCACAGTGCGGTAGCGGTGCAAATATGCCACTACCGCTTTGTATCAAAGGCAATTACGCAAATGAAAGAGAGCACATAGTAATAAGAATCTTTCTGTGTTAATGTACGATGCTCGGAAAAATTGCATTCTCCTGCAGATTTTGCTTGTTCGTCAGGTTTAGTTTGATATTGAGTGTTTGAGTTTCAAGACCGCTCAATTTCTAGAAATACTAATAAAAATACACGATCAGCTAGTGAGCCCGCTTTGAACAAGATTCAATAATGCGGTTTTTGTAAGTACAGTTTTAAAGCAGTCGTTTTGCTTTTAGAGTATTTCTTAATTGTAACTTCACACGATATCTGAAAGCGCTACGCATGCTTTCTCTAATTTGTTTTACTTCGATTGTTAGCTTTGCAAGTTTACTCCGAGCATAGAGGAATCCCCTCAAATAGCGATTTTCTTCATTCTCTACTTTCACCTAAACTCATTAGGCAAGAAAAGTATTATATATCCATGACATAGTAGCTGAAGTGAATTGCTGAGCGGACTTACGAAGCACACAGTATGACTTTCTCTAGCGATCACGGGGGTGAGGATCCTGGGAACCAACTGGGCATGGGCATGCAATAGGTTTTGGAACTTCTTTCAATAAAGCAATTGCTATACTTTCTGTGTATGAAGAACAATGCTTCAGCGTCAGTAGCTGGCTAAGTTCAAGGATCTCAATCTTTACTATTGACAGAAGATGAATAATTCAGATTTCTCGAAGGTCACAGCCCTCGAAAAATAGGACAGAAAGTAAGCATACCTGGTTCATGGCCATAAGGCTATAAAGACTAAGAGTTTTCTGCTAGTCCCTCGTTTTAGAAGAAGTTATAATTTGCCAAAGGGGGCGTTGCTCAAAATTTGTTTTTGTTTTTTACACTGTGGCCCGTATATATGCACATCTCCGCGTGCGAAGAAAGAAAATATGAGAGGGACACATTATAAATGGTAACTCATGAACATTTATATTCGTTCTCATACCCTAATACTTATTATTATGATATGAACGAACTTTGCCATACAAGCTGAGATTCCATCATTTCTTGTGATTCCTTGAGGGGGCCCCCAGAGCGTCACCCTTTGTCTTCGTCGTCCATCTTTCTAGAAACTTGCTGAAAAGTCATAAAATTTACTGCTAGTATGAATATCGGGCTTGTTTGTGGAATGGAATGAATCTTAAGATATCGAGATTCTCGAGGAACCCTGCGGAACAGTGGAAGTTTCAGCTTGTATGGCAGTGTTCTCATCCATTATACTCTCGTATCAGAATACGAGAACCTCAAAAGACAGAAAGAGGGATACAGTTATCCAGTATAGCGAAATAAGACTCGTCCTCTCTCAAATCCCGCCCCAGCGGGGTTGTACGTGCATGCGGGCCTAAGTCGTTCTCTGAAGTTATGGAGCAATCAATTACGCATTAGATATGTAGGAAATCTGCGGCTACGGATAAATCTAAATCAAACACTTCAGAAACAATGCGAACTTCATTAATTTCCGGACAATCCAACGGAATGTCTTGTTACTTGTGCATCATCCAAATAATTAGTAACAACACATGAACTCAATATGTACTGTATAAGAATTCTAGCTTCTTGTTCAAGCAGTGATCATAAAACCGATAAGTGCTTCCTGACTATCACTTATTGGTATTTCGTGACTACATGCAAACTTCGAGCTTATGTGGATGATATAATTTGACTTCACAAGTAATTCCTACCTTGTAAAGCTTATTTTCTGTTCTTGTCAAGCAATTAATACTTCTATACTAATTCTTTCCATGCAAATGATAATTCTGCATATCATTGCTCCTCATACTTTATATAATCGGAAAGTGTGTTCGGTATACAGTTGTGGAATTTGTCACTCCCGTGGAGTATTTTACTTCGATAGCCGAGCAAAGAGAGCAAGTTGTAAGTATTTTACACTTAAGCTGTGGTGACAGGTAACATCTATTTTGTTGTCGTTCTGAAAGGAAATTGTTATCTTTCCAAACTTAGTAGCAATCAAATTTTGAGCTATTTACGAAGTTGTTGACTAAGTTTTGCAACTTCCATAACTTTTCTCTTATTGCATATGGTAAACTCAAACTGCCAATGTTTAGATTATGATGTGAGCTCCAATTATAGCAATTTTGTTCCAAATTCTGGCAACGCTTGTAGGGGTACGGAATTTGAAAAAAAATGGGAGTAAATTCAAAAAAATTACCAACCGTTCCAGATTCGTGCAGTATCAGCTATAACTTGGTCTAGAAGCGTTTTTCAACACGCTAATTACTAAAATCAAACTCATTTTGCACTACAATGTTATACGACAAGGTTATTGGTAATGTTCAGCGTGTAGAATTACCCTATTATGCGAAACCTCAGCAAATTCCAAAATTTCGCTCACTAATTATTGTCGAACGTTAGCGTCACTTTGCGTTTAGCTGCGTTGTTCAACTTCTCAGATCTCGAATAGCCTCCAACTACCAGTACTTTTATGAGAACTCAGTGACAAACTCTGGCAGTATTTTTGGAATAGTCCTATGTCGGTTTCTTTGATTTAGGCTACAAACGGCTTCATCTTTTCTTGTAACTTACAATCAATAAAGCACAAATTTCAGTAGTTTCTTGGGAAAGGGTTCAAATGTTATTATCAGGTCAAACTGTTTGTTCTCAATCATAGTTCACTGTAGTGTAGATAATGCCGAAGTTTGAGCGCGCCTTATTCAAAAAGAGAGAAGTGATGGAGAAAGTTGCAAGAAATTAACAACTTCATAAAGTAAGTTCATCTATAAAGTAAAAAAGAATTCACAACGTCTCTTTTTTATCGTCCTTGAATTGCGTTCATTAGCGCTAGCATATATTCAAACAAACCGTGTTATTGATTGGTATCAGTGGAGTGATAACATTATCCGTTCTAAAAATATCACGAATGTACCACATTTGAAACTTAGCAGTCACTGATCATGGAGAATTTACTGAACTTAGAAACTTAGAGTGAATAAATGTTTTTGAGCTAGAACAGCATTGAAATAGCTGGAACATCCAGAATAAAATAGCATTTTTCAAAATAATCTTTTTTGCTCTTTTTTTCCGTTTTCTATTGCTACTCTGAGCAACATCAAGTTAGAATTTTTCCCCCAAATTTGCTCAGTGATCTACATCTTGTCAAGCACCACATAAGCCAAAAGAGAGACTCTATATTCATTATTTTGATCACTCTCCGCAGAAGAAAACGTTGTCATTAGAAAGGATAACAAGAAAGCAACAAGAGACTGAAGCAGACTGCAACTTGGATTTGCATATTTTGTGTTAAGGTGAGTAATAACAAAATGGAGCAATAACGGTGGATTCGTCTTCACAGTGTGATGTAGGATTGCCTTTAATAGCAGTAGTCCTACAAATTCATTTGCATTTTTTTTTTGTTAGAGATAGGAAGAGGAAGATTCTGCACTTTGATTCTCGTATGTACAGGGTGCGCCAAAATTATTTGCGCGAAAATATTCAAAGTAATAAAACAACGATGGCAATGAGAAATTTGGTCTGGATTTAATGTTACAGGATGCGTAAGCATAATCTACAAAAAGCACTATCAAGATCCCAAATCGGTCTATATTTAAAAAAGTAAGAACTGCAAAAAGCAATGTTCGTGACAGAAAAAACGCAAGCTGACGCAAATATTGAATAGTCAGAATTTTTGTTCTGAGTGCTCCTAAAGATATCGAACCTCAGTAATCTTAAAGTTAAGGATTAGATCTATTTCATGGCGAAACTTCTCCTGAGAGAAGCGATCACTGAAAAGATACATACTGGGCAAGTTTGTGAGCCTCTACCCGCGTGCAGCATGCGACAAAGTCAAAAAATATCATGAGTCTTTACCGAAAAGCAAAACAGGCAATTTTACTTCTTTCAACTATGATACAATGTGTAGAAGAACCAAGAAAACAATATCAAGCTTGCCGCTGGCTGAGCCGCTCTCATGTTCGTATGGCGCTTAATGATACACGCGCATATAATTGGCGCACCCTGTAATGTTGGAACTTAGACGCTACTTTCGCTTAGTTACCTTCTCCACAATCAACAGCCTATAAGAACAGGTCTACAAAGTTACCTTCTTGGCTTAGGCCCGTATGCACGTACATCCCCGCGGGGAGGGGAGGGGATCTGAGAGGGGAAGCGTCATATCTCATTAGTCTATGTATCTTTCTTCTTCTTTGACTGTCTTGGTTTTGAAGGTTCTCAAACACTGATACTTGCGCACAACGGATGCCAGGTTACTGCCACACAAGATTAGATATTCACTATTTCGGCTGATCCCCTGAAAATCCCCGGGGGATCACCTCACATTTTCAAAATTATTTATCTTCCTGAAAACTCGAAAAAAATGCTCTAAAATTGTACTGTGGATATACTCCAGCACTCCTAAACATGTTTATGGTAGAAATGAGTGAAATCTCAAAATAT